CCCCCCCCTTCACGAATAAGGATCTTATCATGGTCTTGATAAACCTTCACTGGATTTTAATGACATTTTTAAATTTTGGAGAATTACGTGAATAAGGCTCAGACTAACACAGCAACTTGACTAGCATTCAGTTAAGTGTGAATTGGTAAAAGCAAAGAGAAGTTGACAGTATGATTGGTCTGATGGTAATGGACAGTGATTCTTTGTTATAAGAAAAGTTAGAAGTGTACACACAAATACCAAAATACCATGGGAAAAATGAGCAAAGTAGGAAGTTATTAAAAGCCTATTTTTGTAACCTATAAGGAGAAAAGGCTGTTATTACAAGAAGTATTGTTGAAATTTTGTTTAGTGATTGATGACAAACTCTGTTGTGTGTGTTTAGGTGGGTGATGTGTCTGGTAAGAAGCCTCAGAGGCTGGTCACACAGTTTCACTTCACCAGCTGGCCTGATTTCGGGGTTCCTTTCACTCCCATTGGCATGCTGAAGTTCCTTAAGAAGGTCAAGACCTATAATCCACAGTATGCTGGACCCATAGTGGTTCACTGCAGGTAAAGAGCCTTATTATCTTCTGTGTATGTGCACGACAAGATTTCTCAAAAAAAAGTCTCAAGCCGCACAAATGTTTTCAAAATGTTTCTTGAGCAACAAATCAGCATATTAAAATGATTTCTGAAGGATTATGTGACACTGAAGAATAGAGTGAAGGCTGCTTCAAAATTCAGCTTTTTCATCACTGAAATAAATTACATTTTCAAAATATACTAAAATAGAAACAGTAATTTTGAATTGTAATAATATTTCACAATTTTACTGTATTTTTATCAAATAAATGGAGCCTTGGTGAGCATAAGAGACTTTCAAAAACATAAAAAAAAAATAAAAAATAAAAAAATATTGTAAAGACCCCAAACTTTTGAACAGTAGTACGTGTGAGCAGTTTTTCTGAAGGTTTGTTATTTCAAGTAACTGATTTTCATCTGTTCATCTCAGTGCGGGTGTCGGCAGGACAGGGACCTTCATCGTGATCGATGCTATGCTGGACATGATGGGGGCGGAGAGAAAGGTCGACGTCTTCGGATTTGTCACACGGATCAGAGCCCAGCGCTGTCAAATGGTCCAGACCGATGTGAGTTTATACAAAACCTCTCATTAAAGTCATAATACAGCTGTATTAGGTATTTAGTCTCAAAATGCTCATCTCCCACCCTCCCTTTCTCCCTACAGATGCAGTATGTGTTTATATTCCAAGCTTTGCTAGAGCACTACCTGTACGGGGACACAGAGTTAGAAGTGACGTCTCTGGAGTCTCACCTGAATAAGCTGTATGCTCCTTTACCTGGAGCTGGCTGTGGAGGCCTGGAGGCAGAGTTTAAGGTAGCACAAAAACAGCTTTTTTTTTTCTTGCTTTTTGGATGTTTGGAAATTATATTGTTCTGGGATCATGTTGTTTTTCTTATGTTCTATTTTAATTATTATCTTTTTCTCTCTTTTAGAAACTTACCTCCATTAAAATCCAGAATGACAAGATGAGAACAGGGAACTTGCCTGCCAACATGAAGAAAAATCGTGTTTTGCAAATCATTCCATGTGAGTTATGTATCAACGTTTAATAATCAGATTATGAATCGTGAGAACATATTTTGATTAATCAAAAACATGTTACCGTTAATATGTTAGAGGTCAGTAGCACACACACACACACACACACACATATATATATATTCATCAAGGATGCATTAATTTATTAAAAGTGACAGGAAAGACTACATTTATACAACATGTTTCATATAAATGCTGTTTTTATTTTATTTTTTAGTCATCTAAATAATCCTCAAAAAAGAAAGGTTTCCACAAAAATATTAAGCAGCAAAACTTATTTTCAACATTGTTAATAATAATAATAAAGGTTTTGAGCATCAAATCAGCATATTAGAATGATTTTTGAAAGATCATGGGACACTGAAGACTGTAGTAATGATGCTGAAAATTCAGCTTTGCTATCACAGAAGTGAATAATATAAAAAAATATATTCAAATAGAAAACAGTCATTTTAAATTGTAAAAATATTTCAAAATATTACTGTTTTATTGATGAGCATAAGAATAATTTTTATATATATATATATATAAGCATTTTAAAAATCTTACTGACCCCAAACTTTTGAACGGTAGTGTAATTGTTCCTAACATGTTTTCTGCTGGAAAAAAAACACACATTTATATAATTTATACTTTTTCTAGGATATAATTATATTATACTTTATACCTTTATCCTTTTACAAGTTATTTGGCAGCTGCTTTTATACAAAGTGACTTGTAGTAAATTTATGGTGTACATTTATCAGCAAGTGCATTCCTGTGTTTTTTTTTTTCTGAATCTTCGCTGTTTCTTCCAGATGAGTTTAACAGAGTGATCATCCCTGTAAAACGAGGGGAGGAGAACACAGACTACATCAACGCCTCTTTTATAGATGTGAGTAAAACCTGTCTGACCTCATCCAACATTTACTCCCAACTAACCGTGATATCGCTCCGTGAAGCCTGGAGGTTATGCAACAATATTCCAGAGACCACACAACGTGCTTTTCTTTTCTTTTGGGAGTGGTTTAAACACATTTTTCTGTCATGAAGTTATACGGACGCCCATGCTGAGATTAGGAGCCTGGGACGGTGAGCATTGCTCTGTTCCAAAACGTAGTCACAAGCTCACTGGAAAAAAAATTAAATGATGATTATAAATATATTTATTTATTCTATGCTAAAAAAGTGTCTGTATTACAAACTCTTTTAAAATCAGTTGATGCTGAGTGTCTAAAATTCAGATCAATCACTTAGGATGTTGCATGACGATTAGGATGTTGCCTTAGAAGACATCTGCTTAAGCAGTAGGCAGTGAGGCAGCTCACTAGGTTTTGGGACAGACCTCATGTGTTCATCCCTCCATCGCAGATCAGTGAGAGTGGGGTAGCTTTGTTTTGGATAAATGCCCTTTCACTTCCTCTTCTATTTGTGTGGCTGAAGCACTTAATCAAAAGGTAATCAAACAGAGGAAAAACTTCTCCAGTGCTATAAGTCGCTTTGCAGTCTGGAAGATAACTATACTGATGAACAAAAGCCTGTTTTGTGCCTTCTTACTGTACGTGCCCACCGGCACAAATAAATCCACTTAGTACTGCCCAAAGAGTGCTAGAAATCTAAAATATGCAGCAGTGTGGTCTATGATTGCTTTTAATAAACTGTTAATAATATAATCATCATGTACATTACCGTTCAAAAGTGTGGGGTCAGGATTTTTATTTTTTTTGAAAGAGAAATTATGACTTTTATTCAGCAAGGATGCATTAAGTTGATCAAAAGTGACATCAAAGTCATTTTATAATATTACAAAAGATTTATATGAAAAGTTATGTTCCTTTGAACTTTCTATTCATCAAAAATCATTAAAAATGTATGTTTTTTTTAGTTGAAACTGTTTTCAACATTGATAATAATAAATGTTAATATTAATAAATGGCATCACAGGAATAAATTACATTTTAAAATAACTAAAAATAGAAAATTGTAATAATATTTCACCATATTACAGTTTTTACTGTATTTTTGATCTAATAAATGCAGACTTGGTGAGAATAAGATACTTTTTTTCAAAAACATTATAATCTTACTGACCCTAAACTTTTGAATGGTAGTGTATATCCACGATTACAGCTGCCCAGTTTGTTGAAATGTACAAAGTAGACATTCTTTGTGTGTGTGTGCAGGGTTATAGGCAAAAGGACTCGTACATGGCATGTCAGGGGCCGCTGCAGCACACCATTGAGGACTTCTGGAGAATGATCTGGGAGTGGAGAAGCTGCTCTATTGTTACGCTGACCGAGCTGGAGGAGAGAGGACAGGTAAGTTCACATGCTTTCTGTCTTTTTGTTTGTAGCATCTGTGATCATGCTAACTCTTTTATATATACAGTGGGGCAAAAAAGTATTTAGTCAGCCACCAATTGTGCAAGTTCTCCCACTTAAAAAGATGAGAGAGGCCTGTAATTTTTATCATAGGTATACCTCAACTATGAGAGACAAAATGAGAATAAAGATCTGGGACAGTTACAGAAACATTGTTAGGGGAAAAAAAAAACATTTCACCCCACCTGTTGTGACCAAAAATAAAATCTGTCTCTTCCTCACTCTCTGCAGGAGAAGTGTGCTCAGTATTGGTCTAGTGATGGTGTGATGGTTTGTGGGGACATGTCTATTGAGTTGAAGAGGGAGGAGGAAAGTGAAAGCTACACTGTTAGGGACCTTCTTGTCACCAATAACAGAGTGAGTCCACTTCATAGCATCTCCTGAAAGAGATTTATGTGTCTTTTATCACTGTATTTTAATGTTTGCCATTGTTGTAATTGCCATTCTCCTTTTACTTTTTCTCTGCAGGAAAATAAGTCTCGTGCTGTGAGGCAGTTTCATTTTCACGGCTGGCCAGAGGTGGGCATCCCATCTGATGGGAAGGGTATGATCAACATCATCGCTGCAGTTCAGAAACAGCAGCAGCAGTCTGGAAACCACCCAATCACTGTGCACTGCAGGTAAGCCACACCTACTCCTCTAGCCAATCAGGAGCCCGAAACATGAAACTTCATTTTGCATAATTTGTATTAATATATTTGTATATTAATATATATTCATATTGTAATATAGTTTGTTCTTATGACAACTGATTTTTTTTTAATTCTTTTATTTCTTCATGTTCAATATGGTGGCTTTTTGTGAGGCATAATCTACATTCCAAATGCAAAATCTATTTTTACTCTCATTTGCTGCTTTGTGTGGGTTAATTTTGGATTGCTAAATTGCAATCCAAAATTAAATTAATTGCAATTCGAAAGTTTGGGGTTGGTACAATTTTTAAATGTTTTTGAAAGAAGTCTCTTATGCTTACCAAGGCTGCATTGATTTGATCATGAATACAGTAAAAACAGTAATATTGTGAAATATTTAAAGTTCAGTAGAACAGCATTTATTTGAAGTGGAACCTTTCAACTTTTTTGAAATGGAAACACAAATGTCTTTACTGTCACTTTGATCAATTCAATGTGCCCTTGTTGAATAGTGAAAAGTATTGATTTATTATGATCATTTGTTAAATCTTACTGCCCCTTTTGAAAAGTTGTGTATTTTTTTAATAAAAACAAATCAGGACATAACAAGTTATGTATTTATTTTATGGTTGTTACAGCAGTATACTACTCAGATTATTACATATAGAGTTATTCAACCTTACCGTAAATCTTCTAGTCTGGATACAGGACATATTGGTTAGACAGGAATGCCAACTTTAATAGGTCTCACTGGTTTGGCAGCTTAAGTAAGATTTAGTGGTTTTGTAATTCTGGAAGGCATCCATAGGTGCTTAACCAAAACCTGTCCATAATTACATCTCCAAAGCACTCGGTAATGATGAAACGGATAGAGTTGCTGTGTCCAGTGGGATTTCAGGGTCAGCCAATTAAGGAAGGTAGAAACAGACTCATTAAAATTCACAGAGCGGTGGGTAATTGATGTTTGTGTGTTAACAGTGCCGGAGCAGGGCGCACGGGGACATTCTGTGCTCTGAGCACGGTCCTGGAGCGGGTGAAGGCGGAGGGCATTCTGGACGTTTTTCAGACGGTAAAGAGTCTAAGACTACAGAGACCGCACATGGTGCAGACACTGGTGAGGAAACACGTCATTCACGATGCAATGTTGACCTACTGAATTTAACAAAGTGCAGTTTAATTGTTTTTGAACGACTGTTGTTTTTGCCAGAGATTTAAAACTAGAGCTGCACTAAGAGAAAATTGTGATAAAAAATTGCAATTGTGATTGAAAATGTGAGTGAAAAAAATACGTTTCAGGTTTGCTGTACTTGTTTATAGGGCTGCACAATTTGGCCAAAATGTTGTTGTTATATATCAATATGAGTCATGACTATAATAATAAATCATTATTATTTTGATTATTATTATTATTACTACTACTAATTAAAGGGGTCTTATGATGTTGCTAAAAAGAACATTATTTTGTGTATTTGGTGTAATGCAATGTGTTTATGCGGTTTAAGGTTCACAAAACACATTATTTTCCCCATACTGTACATTATTGTTTCTCCTCTATGCCCCGCCTTTCTGAAGCGTGAACATTTTTATAAAGCTCATCGATCTGAAAAGCGAGGTGCGCTCAGATTGGCCAGCTATCCAGTGCGTTGTGATTTGCCGAATACCTCAAGCGTGTGATGGAAATGTTACGCCCCTTACCATATTGTGATGCCGTGTCCGGCCGGAGCAACGAGACAAAAACATTAAAACCCATTACAAACGAGGCATTTGTAGCATCCAGTGAGGACATAATTACAGATTATAATGACTTATACTGTCTTTTTACGCGTTGTATTGCATTGTGCCGCATAAACATAAAGCCATGTCTGCATTTGTGATCGGAGAAATGACAAGCAACAAGCGCTACTTTTCGCTTTCGCAATGAAACACACAGCGTCTTCACAACATGGCGGCGGTGGTGGCAGCAACAATAAAGTTACACCTTCTTTCTTTGCATGAACATTTGGGCGGCATTATGCAAATCTTCCCACATCGTGACGTAGACATGTGGGGGCGTGTTTAAACGAGGCATTTTAGGAGGGCGTGGACGAGTCTTAAGTTTTATAAAGAATATCTCTTTGGGTTTGAGGGATCTTATCTATTCACGAACAGCTTGTAACACTCCAAAGAGAAGGGGAATCTTGAAATCGCATCATATGACCCCTTTAAACAAAATAAGAAATATTACTATTGTAATTTACTATTACAGTTGTAATGTTCACTGTAAAATAAAAACAGTCAAATATTTATGATGATGATACTAATCATTTAATTTTATATTACAATTGTAAAATTACAATACTAATATTTATGGCCGTCTCCATTTACCAACATTTATTTTGGCAGAAACCACATTAAACCCTTAAAGCTTCTCTTTTCGGTCATTAAATTATGGGAAGATGATTGACATGTTGCATTCTGAAATGCACAGTATGTTCAACTCAAATTCAGAGGTGTTGCAGAGATGAGTTTGTGTGGAGTGTCATTTACTGCAAGCCGTTCTAAGAATCTGAAAACACTGGATTACGAGCTGCTTACGTATAAATGAAGACAGTGCCGCATTTCACTCTAAAACACACAGTGCATATATATATTTTATTCAGTTGTAGCATTTGCGATTTGATAATCGTGTTAAGCCATATAGTGATTCTGCTTTTATTTTAATTAATCGTGCAGTCCTAGTAAAACATCATTAGAACAGGAAAAATGGGAGGGGGGTGATACGTTACATTTTAAATCTCAATTTTTTGGGAAATAATCATCATCATCTCTTGTTTTGCTTCAAATACTTTAATCTAAATATCTCAAGGCCGTCTCAACTCACTACATCTTGCTTTTCCCCACAGGAGCAGTATGAGTTCTGCTACAAAGTGGTCCAGGAATACATTGATGCCTTCTCTGACTACGCCAACTTCAAGTAAAGCCACGCCCACCTGCAGAAGATCGGACAGACTTTCCCAGTCATGCACTCACGTCCACACTTTCACAAAAACACCGCTAAATGAGACAGACTGCCAGCGCAAAGCAAAAGGGAATGAAAATCCTTTGGCCGGCAAGCACGAGAACACATTGGTGCTGAAGATGGAAAGAAAACAAACAAAGAAAACACCATTAGAGATGCCTTCTTGAATATTTTGTGATATTGCTCTTGTTAATAAGGCCCTTACCCATTTCTCTCAGTGTAAATATGCTCTTGTATTTTTTCTTTTTCATTTGTTTGGTTTTAGAAGCCGTTCTGTTGCGGTTTTTAGAGTGACCTTAATATAGTTTACTGGTAAATAAATGCATATATGAATAGCGCTATAGAGACAGACGTGAAAGAGAGGTAGCAAGATGAGGGTGCTTTTCACTGAGCGTTTTAACAAGAACTTGCTTCTTTCTCTGCAGTTGAGAGACTGAAACCTATTTGAATGGCAGCTCAATCCCACTTGCCTGTAGCTACATAGCGCAGAATGCGGCAAAATTAACCAATCGTGGTGCTTCAGCAACTGTAAATGCGTGCATTCGCAGAAAACCCTTCACTGTACTTTTCGATTGTTTACTGGAGTGGCAGATATCATTTTGAGTGTTTTGACACTCTCATTGAGTCCATTTTTTTGGGGGTGTGACTAAGGCATCCCTTAGAAATGAAGATGTGAAGTGTGTCTTTGTAGTGTCAGTTTTGTTAGATAGTGTGCCAGACCCGACTTGTGTTCTGCCTTGGTCCAAACTAGACAATGGTAGAGGAAGATAAGACTTAAAAAGACAAACAAGAGGAAACCCTGAGTGTTAAGACTGGATAAATTCAGTTCTGGATAAACTCTTCACTTAATTTTTCTTTTGTGTAGTTTTGTCCCCTTTTTAAAGTTTCATTCCATGCTTTTTTTCCCCAAACATCTTTTCCTTTCAAGATCGCTCTAAAAGCACCTTCTGTATTTGCGATTGTAACCAAGGAAGTGATGCTTACTTTCCCGGATGTCTGATAATTGGCCTAAACAACTGTGCTTGACAATAAGGTTTCATAATGTATACGCAGTTACTTTTCCTTAATTTGAAGATAAATGATCCTACCGGCCCGTCTACTTGCAAGGTACTGGGGCAAAGTTGATCCAGAAAGTTCTAGTAGAAATGACACATGATCACCTGATCATCTGTTCCTGCCCATGTAAAGGACTTCAGCCATTGTGCCAAAGTCAACTAGCCCTTTCCAGCTCCACTGAGCCAGTTAGATTGATATATGACGCTTTCAGCCCTTAGCGGTGAGTACTTTCAACTTCTCCAAGCAAAAAGAACAGGTCGATGGTATGAATGAGGACATGTATTGTCGTTTTAACTAGTGGAAACATCTAAAGCTGATTGTCAGTGGAAAGCAAGTTATTTTCCAGGGAATGATTTATGTAGGTTAAGCCCTCGTTCCACACTGCCTTGTGTTAGGAAATGTAAGTTTTATGAAATGTATGATTTAGCTCCTAAATAAACCCAATAGGTGTCTTTCAAAATCACTCACCCATCTGTCATTCCATGTTAACAGGGTTCTCGATGGAAACTGTTTTTTATATTATTACAGATCCATGATGTTCCGAATTATGAATTACGGATTTCTATTACAGCTTCCTGTGGGCTTCATCTTAAGATATTCCATGAAATGCTGACGGATTTGCTTGAATATTGTGCGAGTCGGCTGTTGTGATTTGCTAACCCTTTCCACATGAGACAGTGTGCCAATAGCAGCCTCTCAGAGGCACGATCCTTCTTCAGAGGTGGGAAAAAGTGCCTCATCATGTTCCTGTAGCTTCAAGCATATTCCCGCCTGCTCTTTAGTACCCATGTTCTCCCAATCCATTGGGACATTGTGGGCTGTATGGCGTATGATAATCTGTAATGGAACCTAAATAGTTACTGGTTGGTTGCTGTTTTTGGGTTTTTTTCAAGCTTTTTTTTTGTCTTCTTTGCTTACATACCATATAAAACCATCCTGGAGGAAGCACCAGATTTCCGGTCAAGTCCCTCAAAACCTAAGCTCTTAATGTATGGAGAGCAATCTAGTTCTTCTGGTCAAGAAGGGAAGCCACGTGTCTGGTGGCTCACTTCATTCTTCTGTTGAATGTGACATTGAAAGGACCTGCTTGGATAAGCAAAAGAAAGAATGAGAACAAGACTGAAAAGTAAAGGATTCTGCTCTCCAAAAATCCCATGGAAATTGGTTCTAAATTTCACATTTTCACAACAGTTTTACATTCCATAAATCCTAAAAACATTCCCCTTTCTGATTTTTCATTTCTTCTTTATGCACCCTTCTGTACATAATGTAAGGTTATTTATATTTCATTCCTATCTGTTGCCTTGCTTTAGTTTTATTTTTCTCGCTTTTTTTTAAATACTTGTATATTAAACTGTACCGGGACCATTTTTAAATGTATTAGATATTTTCCCCCTATTTTTAATTTGGTATTGTCTTAAAATCTTAATTTTTTAATTTACATCTGTTTTTTTTTTTCTAGTGTTTTGTTATTCAAATTTGAATATATATGTATATATAATTATATATATGATGCAAATTATATATAATTATATAATGCCAAACGGCCTTTCTAAACAAGATACTGTGCAAACCTAATAAAAGTGCTTGAGATTTTATCTGCAGTCATTTTACTTTGTGCATCTCCAAAACTTTAGAAATATAATTTTCATGTCTCAATATGTACTCTACCATTCAAAAGTTTTAGATATATATATTTTTTTACTTTTATTTGGTGAGGATGTATTAAATTGATCTATAGTGACAGTAAAACAAACATACAAATTCATCAAACAGTCCTGAAACAAAATGTATCAGTTTCTAAAAAAATTTTAAGCAGCACAACCATTTTGAACATTAATAATAACAATTCTTGAGTACCAAATCGGCATATTAGAATGATTTCTGAAGGATCATGTGACACTGAAGACTGGAGTAATAGCTGCCATCACAGGAATAAATTACATTTTAAAATATATTAAAATAAAAAAACAGGTTTTTTTTATTGTAATAATATTTTACAATATTGCTGTTTTGACTGTTTTAAACAAATGCAGCTTTGGTGAGTGTTCTTTCTTGGTGAGAATTGATCCCTGAGGGGAAATTGAGAGAGAGAGTCACATCACCTTGTCTTCCATCCTTCCTGGCCCTTTAGACCTGGTGTCAGACCTGAGATGTGAAAGGATTATCACTGGAGACCCCTGTGCTTGTTTAAATACCATTTGACAAGAACTCAATCAGATCTTGAAACCCTGTGATGAGTCAGTCGTACACATTCTCTGCTCCGATCACCCCGAGGGAGAACTTCTGAGTAATTAAGACCACAGTCAGGCTGGAGTGTTTGCACAGTGTTTTTCTCTCTGGGCCAGTGTGCGTTTCATGTGGGTCAGGGGGTCACAAACGATGGATGTGAGGTCACACTGGCCACTTTTTACAGCTTAGAGGAAATGAGCTTGACATTTGCTTTTGTAATAGGACATGCTCATCAAGAATGTGTGATATTGGGGTCACTGGAATTGCCATGTTTAAAAAAAGGAAAAATGACAGAATAGTCTATACATGTATGATAAATATCGACAATGTTCAAGTTTAGATGGCTGGTGGCACAATAAATGTAGAAAAATGTAGAATTTCTTAAAAGCCTATACTTAACTGTTCATTATTATTTCAAATAAATGCTGCTCTTTTTAACTTTCTATTCATCAAAAAGTCCTGAAAGAAATATATCATGCTTTCCACAAAAATATTCAGCTGTTTCAAATATTCAGCAACTGAAGTTATGGCTGGTAAAAATTCAGCTTTGCCATCACACAAATAAGTTACATTTTAAAATATATTAAAATAGAAAATACTTATTTTTAATTGTAATAATATTTCACAATATTACAGTTTTGACTGTATTTTAAATTAACTAAATGCAGCCTTGGTGAGCATAAGAGACTTCTTTTAAAAACATAACCAAAAGTCTAACTTTTCAACCATGTATAGTTAGTTTCAGTGTTGGGGAAAGTTACTTTTAAAAGTAATGCATTACAATATTGCGTTACTCCATAAAAAAGTAACTAATCACGTTACTTAGTTACTTGTTATGGAAAGTAATGCGTTACGTTACTTTTGCGTTACTTTTTAAATCTGGACAGGGCTTGCTTGTTTGTTTTTCAAATAATAAAATTATATTTTTGGTAACTATAAAAGCCTTTTCACACCAAAAGTGAAAGGAATAAGTACATTTATGTCCGTACAGTAGAATGCAGAAGAAGAAATTTCAACACACTTCAGCAATAAAAAAAGACACACAAATGTTTGTCTAGAGTAATTTGTGCTTATTAGTACGGTTGAACTGGATCATCGAAGGCCAGCAGCAAAGACATTGCTTAATAGAATGGCATTAAATACATAAAGGATATTTGTGTTGTTTAACATTTAATTCTTGCAGGTTTGCGTCATATTCTGAGTTGCATTATTTTAATTAATTTTGAGGAATACTGAATCTGTGTTTTTTTTTGTTTTGTGAGTGAGATGAATGAATGCATATTTATATTTATTTTAGAACTACAGTAACATCTGATTTCTCTCGACATGGGGACAGGAGAGCTGTCAATCAATAAATTGGGGGAAAAAAAGTAACTCAGATATTCTCTTGTAAATTAAAAAGTAATGCGTTACTTTACTAGTTACTTGAAAAAAGTAATCTGATTACGTAACTCGCATTACTATAATGTACTAACACTTGTTAGTTTATATTCTCTTTTCTTTTGTTGCCTGGTCTTTAAAAAGTTTACTCTTGAAAAATTAAATTAAATTAATACATTTGCATTTAAAAAGGTAAATAGATATATATAATTTTATTTTAATAAGTTCCTTTTAAATTAAATTGCTGTCTAAATAAAATTATAGATAAATAATTATATAGCGATTAAATAAATAGAATCCCTTATTTAGTGCTTACTTTTTTCTCTTTTCTTTAATTAGCACTTTGGCACATTCTTGACCATTCTTTTGAAGCTGAAAATCTGAATAGCGTCAAATTTACGCATGTGTGACGTAGTTGCCAAATGTGTCTGGGTGTAAATCGTGATGTGTATATTTACATGAGTGTTTTGTTGGAGAAAGAGGACACTGTCCCGTTGGGGTCAACAGTGTTTGGAGATGATAATTGGAATTGAGCTCATCTTTCACATGCTCTCCTCCCAATGGAAACGCAATGACCAGGCAAAGTGTTTGAGGACTGGGGAGGTCAGTGTGTGTGTGTGTGTTTAGACAGGGAGGGGAGATCTGGTGTGAGACATAAATTGTGAGGAAGAGGAGGAGGAAGATTCCAGAGAATGAGCTCAGAAGCTCACTGAACCGTTCACTTGAGGGAAACGAGACCATATCAGGATTACCAAGACCAGGACTTCACAGTAGAGGAAGTGGAACTACTACAGAAGATCATTCAGCAAAAGACGTGCCAATAGATACAAGGTAATAACAATGTTTAGATTTGCTTTTAGGTTGTCTTTGAAAATGTTGCTATTATTGATGTATTGACAGTAATTCGTAGATAAGTCTTTAGACATTATAGTCTCCATTGTGCTTTATTGTCTCTTAAACATCATTGCTATCATACTTTTTAGTCAAACATTTTTCCTGAAATTGTTAGGCTGGTAAACCTAGACCTGACTGACTGTTAAACGTGTCAGTGCAGTTACTGGCCCCTCACTTACTCTCCATTTGTCTGGTCAGTCTCTGTTCTCTTCCCTCAGTTATGGTGCACATCTGCAGGCTGTTTGTGGTGATGGGGATGGTGATGTTTCTAAGTGCCCAGTTTGCCAGCTCTCAGCACTGGTCTCATGGCTGGTACCCTGGAGGAAAGAGAGAGATAGACGTTTACGATCCTTCAGAGGTGTGTGAATATTTCTAAAGAAATGTAAGTCTGTGAGAAAGAACAATACTGCCAGAAAAGGGCTGTCTATTTGCAACGTGGTGCACATTGTAAAAAAAATTATGTTTAACAAAAAAAAATTAAAAATGGTTTACTGTAACCACGTGGTTGGTAAATTGGTTTGGATATTAGATTTTAAGAAATTTGGTTAGATTTACTTACCAAAAATTAAAAATAATTTCTCAATCAGATCAATGTTGAAAACAGTTGTGCTGCTTAATTTTGTGTTTTTTTTTAAACATGCTAAAAAAAATTCAAAACAACAGCATTTATTTGAAATAGAAATTGTTTGTAATATTATAAATGTATTTACTGTCACTTTATTTTTGATTATGCTGTTTAATAAATTATGTGTATTGCATTATTTTAGCGTCATTTGACTTAACGTTGACGAGGTTTTGTGTTTGTGTGGTAGCACCGTAGGCTACTATCTTTATATGTTTATCAGCCTTTGTTTATGGAAAGACCTATTTTGATGTGCTAAGCCATCATGTTGCTTTCTATTTTATTTGAAAATCAGGTTTCAGAAGAAATTAAACTCTGTGAAGCAGGGAAATGCA